GGGTTTAGGGGTCTAGGGTTTAGGAGCTAGGGTTCAACTGAACCCTGTACCCCAAGCCCTGTACCCTAGATCCGCAAGGGAGCGCTACAGCTGACACTGGGCAACAAGGACTCCTTCTCCATTGGCCCTGGAAACCGACCACTAGGAGTTGAGAAAGAAGGGACCCTAATTTGGGGGTGAATTTGGCCCCGAATATAACATCCTGATCAGTAACTTTACCTTCTGATACAGACTCGAAGGTACCATCAATTCTGCGAAACCTCAGAAAATTTTATTCATCCACCGATAATCCTTCGTCATCCTGCAACCCAACGCACGAACAAAAAGTACAAAGCCCACACATTCGCGAACAGCAAAACTTCTTGGCTGCCGGCCTTTGCTGCCCTCCTTTGTGGCCTTGTCTGGGCGCGAGCTTCCGATGTAAGCGAGGGTTTTAGGGTTTTTGCGGGGGTTTCGGGTTTAGCGCTTTCGGGTTCCCAAAACCCTGAACCCTAAATTCTAGGGAGTTTTAGGGTTTAGGGCTTTAGGGTTGCAAAGGGTTGTGCAGCTTAGACTTTAGGTTTTGAGGGTCTTGGGGTTTTTAGGGTAGAGGGTTTAGGGCGTTTAGGGGTTCAACTGCTGGGGTCATTGACTCGACTGTGCTGGTTGCTAATAGCACAAGGCTCAAGTGCCTAATCATCCTATATTCCCCGGGTTAGTACTAACCCTGAGGGTCCATGTGCCCAAATAGTATACACCTTGGCCTGAAGGTAGTCCCCATATAGGTACCTTGCGGCCAAGGTATAAACTATATCTGGGCACATGGACCCTTAGAGTAGCCTACATTTCTTTTGTCCTATACCCAAATATACATAATTGAATATTCGACCCTTTAGATCCGTAGAACCCCTGTCAAGATTATTGTGTCCGTTGGACCCTCAGGGCAATAGCCAAATCATCGAAGTTGGATCCGTCCCCACCCGAAGCCCAGCACTAAACACGAGAGCTTAAACTAACACGTTGAATGTTGGGCCCCCTGGATCCAAAATCCAAGATTGCCGAGAAAACATTTCTTGGATCCGTCCGACGGCCCGGAGGCCAACAGTAACAGTATTAGCTAAAAGCAGATATGTTTAATCTCGGGCCTTAATATTAGAATATGGGGTATACCAAATATTCAATAAAGAACCCACCAAAAAACAGTATAGGTAATTTTTTAGACCCCTGTGATATACTGCCACAGGGTATTTCATGGGAACCCCTTAACGGAACAACTTTCTGGATACTCCACTACATGCCCGTACAATGTGCGCACAGCTATATAGAGGCAAATACATGAGACTCAGAACAGGCAGCCTCGTACTAGAAGGGCACCTTGCAGATCAGTTTTTCAGCAATGGTGTGAGGTCCTGTGGACGAAAAATGCTTCAGGGTGCCTGTGCAGTGCTTGCAGGGCTTGTGCGGCTTCTATGCTTGGGCTTAGACCTGGGGACCCCAAAACCTACTGTTGTAGGGGCTATACCCCATAAAGACGACAAGGGTCATAACCTACTTTAGATGTAGCCAGAAACTGCAATATGCTTTAATGAAGAATTTTCCTTTAGGCATATTTGATCCTTCTATAACTTAAGGTCTATCCTTAGTTATGGATCAATTAAATATCCCTTGATTTATTAAGCGATATTGGAGTCTCTAGGTATGTGGGCGCAGGATTTACCTTTAATCAAATTGGATGCTACTATAATTTTAAGGTATTTTCCTTAACTTAATTATGTATTAATCAAATATCCCTTCGTTCAAGCGATATTGGAGTCTCTAGGTATGTGCAGCACAGGATCTACTAAATTGGTGCAAGGCCCTCAACCCCAAAACCCTAAACCCTAAACCCTAAATCCTAAACCCTAGATCCTAAATCCTAAAGCCTAAACCCTAAACTGGTAAGGTTTGGTTTGAGGCCAGCGGCGCGCTTGCAGTCCACCCACTTGCCCAAGATCTGGTGTTCTCCATGCTGTGCCTAGGAGCTGCGAGAAATCCAAGAAAAAAGAGTTCCGAGTTCTCTTTTAGGGTTTAGGGTTGGGTAGTTTCGAGTTCTCTTTTAGGGTTTAGGGTTGGGTAGCTTCGAGTTCTGTTTTAGGGTTTAGGGTTGGGTAGAGTTTCGATTCATCTTTTAGGGTTTAGGGTCTCAGGTCGAAACATGGGCTTAACATAATTAGGGTTTAGGGTTTCTTAAAGGCGTTTATAAAAGGGATACTAGCTGGGTTACTATAAATTATCTATAATCTAGGGGCCTTAATAATCAGAATAGGGTTTTGGGGCTCCTTTAAAGGGTCCCTTCAGGTTGAAACCATGGGCCCCTAGTATGGGCCCCTAACCCTGGGACCCTTATATACCTACTGTATACCCTATATGTACCCTTAAGGGACCCTAGAACCCCCTAAGGGCCCATATTAGGGGCCCATACTTCTAACCTTGGACAAGGGGGGGGTAGAGTTCTCTTTCAGGGTTTAGGGTTCGGGTTCAGGGTTTAAGGTTCAAGCTAAAGGTTGTTGGCTTAGGTCGATGGCGAAACTCATAGGGACCTTTAGGGGGGTATGGGGGAGGGGGGGGGGGGTAGGGAACTAGACATCCTTGAATCGGCCTGATCAGGTCCTTATTTCTGCGGTTGAACACATGGGCCTTTAGTATGGGCCCCTAACCCTGGGATCCTTATACACCTACTATATACCCCATATGTAAGGGTCCCTAGAAAGGCCTAAGGGTCCTTATTAGATCTTATTAGGGGCCCATACTTCTAACCTTAGATCATTACAGGATCCCTCCTACCATGGAAGGGTCCTTCTGAATCATCGTCGTCCTCGTCATGATGATGAGCATCATCACCGTCAGCCCAAGCCCAAGACCCCGAACACTCTACACCTTGAAACGGTCTAGGGTTTAGGGCTTCGGGTTCAAGGTTCAGGGTTTAGGTCTTTGGGGCTTTGGGGCTTTGGGGTTTAGGCTTGAGGGGTTTAGGGCCTTAGGGTTTAGGGTTGAGGGGTTTAGGGTTTCGGGCTTAGGGTTTAGGGGTTTAGGGTTCAGGGCTCTGGGCTTCGGGTTTAGGGGTTTAGGGTTCAGAGTTCAGTGTTCAACTCAATGCATGCAGGCCGAGGGCTTCGGATTCGAGAGTATTGTGGCACTACCTGCAGTAACCCATGAAACTTCACTAACGGTTTAGGATTTAGGGTTTA